GTGGTTTTATTTATAGCCGATCTTGTCAGGCGGCGGGAGGCGGGAGCCCGCTCCCAGGCGGGAGGATGGCGTGCGGCGGCGGGGCAGCAGCCTGAGGGCGGCGGCGCGGAGCGGGCACTCGGCAGGGCAGGTTTCGCTAGAGGTACGTATAAAGTTGCTGTTGCTCAAACAGGCTTTTCGTTACGTATTTTTTTAAAGTTCATCCTTTCTCTGTGCCGGTGCAGCCAAGGTCACCTTGAGCACAATTGGAGGACGCGTTTTGCTTTCACCGTTCAGATGCTCGTGAGCCTTTTTATTTATTGGGTGGTTTGGATACTAATTTGCCTGACTGCTAATAAAAAAAAAAAAGGCAAATTGGGTGTAAGAGCCAGCAAAGAAAAAAGGGCAACTTACGTACTTGGGCTGTGTAACGATAAGTATGTGCGTGGATATACTAGCTCGGACTCCAGTTTGGATTGAGAGCTCTGTACGGGGAGGTCTTGCAGGAGAGGTTTGTGTCTGCTGGGGGAGGACGGTAAGAAAGACACAATGTTGGGCTAAAGTTTTAGGCCTTGCTCTTGCAGATGTTAGCATACAGGGTGGGAACAGTCTCGTTCCTGATGGCTCGCAGCTTGGCTGTAGCAAGTTTCTTTGTGGTGACAGATGGAAGAGGCAGTATCGCCACTTCACAGTTTCCTTATAGGAAAATGCCGGGATTCCTATTCTGATGGCTGTCCATAACAACACAGTTTAATTTGTAGTCTTCTGCAGATATGCAATACAACACTAAGTTGTTTTGCTATGTTTGGCCTGCTTGCTTTTTTCTTTGGCTGAGGAAGAATTATTTACTGTGCTTATTATATGAACTGTAAAACTTCCATTTTAAAATAACAATGCAAGTTTAGACTTCTTAACTGCTTTTTAATCCCGCAAGCCTGTAATGTCACGTATGTCAGCAGCACATTCAGATTTCGGGGTGCGCTTTTGTGTAGAGCGCTCCTTCCTCTGAGGAGTTTGCAAACTGGTTTGACTACAGCTAGATCAGACACATAAAATATACTGTGAGATAGGATTGGGAGAGAACGTTAATGAGATTTTTTGTAGATAATAGGTGTCCTTGAGAAGCAAATGATGAAAGAGTGAGGTCATGGAGTGCAAGAGAATAGTAAACTTTTGAAAGTGGCTGAAATGTGCATCTGTGTGGCTGAATGGTTTAAACCATGCAGTGAAGAACAGTGGAAAAGTGTAAAGGGACTATACTGTTCTGTAATGGGAAGAAGAGCAGGGAGAGAAAAACATGCAGGTGTGCTGTGTTTATGGAAATCGAATATGCTAGGTTTTTTATCATATTAAAAACATGGTGATTTCTGACTGCAATGAAACTTGTTCAGAACCTAACTTTTACTGAAGAGTGCAAAAATACCAGTTTGCTAATTTATTACTGGATACCCATCACTGAAATTGTGCGGTGTATATGTGTTTCTGTGTATGTGTGTGTGTATATATATGTGTGTGTATGTTATTATTTTGCAGCTTCTGATCTTCAGTTCAACTCCTGTGTCATGGATGAAACTGCTTTGTCCCTTGGAACAATAGATGTTTCCTATTTGTCCACCTCAGCAGAGTGCAGTATCAGTAGATGTAAGCATGCCAGTGAAGAATGGGTAAGTAAAAGTGGTGAATATTACTGGCCATATTTATCTTATTTTTTCTTCAAGTTGAAGGTGGACTTTTTTTTTATTATTACAAAGACTGAAGATCACCTCTCTCATGCAAGATCACCTCTCTCATGCATGATACAGTTTGGTTTTAATTTAACTTGAAATGTGAGTAGGAACCAACAGTTCAGTGCTGTGCCAAAGACTAATGCTGCTAGAAAAGAAAAACCCAATCAAACCTATTGATAGTCTTACAGTCTTCTGGTGTGATGTTACTAATCATTTTATATAGCAGTAAATGTGTAGAATCCCATTCTGGAGTAGGCTGAGGTCAAACAGAAAGTCAAATAGAAAGCTCGTTGCTGTTCTAAGGGATGTAGTTTGAAATGCGCAAGTGAAAAGGAGTGTGAAGCTAAAGATGCATGGTCCTGTAGCCGTTGTAGCTGGAGCTTTTCATGCAATACAGGAGGCAGAGAAAATTTGGTGGATATAAAAAAGGAGCCTATTAAAAGTCTGTGTCCTCTGTTGAGTGAGTCTTGGGATTTGGAGGAGACAAAGAGGGCAGTGAGCAGAGAGGGCTGGGTGGAGCAAAAAGAGTCACACAGGGACTGGGCTGGTACTGGTTGGTTTAGAAGCATGGGTCAGGAAGAATTAGAAACTGCTCTGGAGAGGAGGAGTTTGAACTTGATACAGAAGAAGAGTTGGAGACATGGTCAGAGTTGAGGGAAAGGACAGATGTCCTGGCAGCTGGCTTTTCTATATAGCTAGATATAAATTACATCAGACAGCAGGCTGCGGTAACCAAGGGATCTGTGAGAGAGTGGGATAAAGGCAGGTAAGACAAAAGAGATAGGAAGGAGGTTTTGTAAGAAAGTGGTGAGTTCAGTCAGGGCTTGGAGGCAAGCAGAAGGAAGACTAGCAGCAGGACTAGGGATGTGATCGTCCCCATGTACTCAGCACTGGTGAGGCCACACCTCGAGTACTGTGTTCAGTTTTGGGCCCCTCACTACAGGAAGGACATTGAGGTGCTGGAGCGTGACCAGAGAAGGGCAACGAAGCTGGTGAAGGGTCTGGAGCACAAGCCTTACGAGGAGCGGCTGAGGGAGCTGGGGTTGTTTAGCCTGGAGAAGAGGAGGCTGAGGGGAGACCTTATTGCTCTCTACAACTGCCTGAAAGGAGGTTGTAGCAAGGTGGGGGTTGGTTTCTTCTCCCTAGTAACAAGTGATAGGATGAGAGGAAACAGCCTCAAGCTGCGCCAGGGATTTTAGGTTGGGGATATTAGGAAAAACTTCTTCCCCGAAAGGGTAGTCAGGCATTGGAACAGGCTGCCCAGGGAAGTGGTTGAGTCCCCATCCCTGGAGGTATTTAAAAGCCATGTAGATGTGGTGCTTAGGGACATGGTTTAGTGGTGGACTTGGCAGTGATAGGTTAACGATTGGACTTGACCTTAAAGGTCTTTTCCAACCTAAACGATTCTATGATTGTAAGGCAGTACTGTTACAAAGTTGGTTAGTTTTGGAGTTAGCATTATGGAAGGTGATAGAGAAGGGATTGGGCCAGGCTTAGCATCTTGATGTTTGTTTATTTCAGATGGAAGACTTAGCCATGGAATAATTGCCAATTCATACTGCTTGCCAAATGTGATATATGCACATTTTAGTTTTTAGGCATCTTCAGAGTTGCTTTTGACTTTCTGGTTGTTTCTCGCTGGGCTGGCTTTCTAGCTGAGTACATGATGAATTGTATTTGTGTTTTCCAACCCTTATGGTGGTTTAAGGTATTGGTTCTACCCTGCTTCTCTGCCACTTAAATGTGCCATTTTAAACAACGTTTTAGTTTTGTTTTGGTTTGTTTCTGTAACTTCCCTTTTATTAAAAACTTAGAATATATGGTTCAGAAAATGGCAATCCAGTGCTCATTCTCAGGCAAGCAATAATTCAGTAGACTTTAATGGGAACAATCAATGTCTTTGTAAGAATTGTAGTTAAGTATATTTTCATTATGTCCTAACATAGAGAATGTGTTCTGTGTTACTTTGGATTTTTTGGTTCTGTAATCTTCAGAAAGACAGGGTAGCATCGGAGAAGGCACAGTGGTTCCTTTTTTTGTATCACTTTGCTTGAAACTGCTGAAGAAGAGCCTGCAGAGTCCACAGAGTTAATATCTTGCACGCATTCAGTGTTCTTGCAATTTTACAGGGTGGTGTCCAGTTAAAGCTTAAAATATATTGCTCGTATTTTGAGCACTCTTACGTTATTGAGAGTGTAATTTACTGTTAATTTCTTCCACTTTTCTCGGCTATCAGTTTCCTTGCTGTTTCTTATTAGAGTTATTATTTATTTTAAAATTTTGTGTGTCGGCAAATGCTGCGGCACTTAAGACATAAGTACAACGCTGTGATTTTGCTTTTATTTTTTTAAATCACATCATCTGGAGATAATATAATTTATTTTAGAAAAATCTTGGAAAAATTTGTGTTAGTTTTACATAATTTTGGGGGAGTAATTTTATTTTTTTTTTTGGTGTCTGGCAACTCTTCTTACTCAAAGTTTTCACGTACCCAGTAAGACATACATTTCTGGATATTTACACAGTGGTCTTTTGTTCTGCAGGGAGAGTGTAACTCTAGGCCCACTCTCTTCGGATCTGCCATTTTGAAATGGAAAGAGACTCTGTTGAGCAGAAAAAGACCGTTTGTGGGACGATGTTGCTATGTATGCACCCCCCAGAGCCGGGTAAGAAGATTATGGACTGGATTATGTTTGACAACAATGCATAGTTGCAGCGTAATGAAGTTTCAGTAGTTTTCTTACTATCAGAATTAAGGTCACAATGTTCTTACTTCATAAAGGAATATAGTTTTTCACCTTTGTTTGTGGTTATATTTTCTTTGTTGTGGAATTAATGGATGAGACAGACCTATTGTGATGTTTTGTCTCCCACTTTTCAGTACGGACTTATTCCGTGCACAAAACTCTCCAGCTCTTCAGAATTAGCACTAGGACATTATATGGAAAAAAAACCTGCTCTGCTAGATCAAAAGTGGGAATTTGGTGCATATGAAAGTGTTAAGGCTTACTTTTAGGACACTTAATTCTCTATCCACAGAATAAATACAGTTTTGAAAGTAAGCAATATGCTTCCTTTCAAACTTGAAGAGATCAATCCTGTGCTTGAGAAGACAGGTTGGTTTTCCACACCTGGCTGATTCCTGGCTTCTCAGCCCAGCCTAGAAAAAAGGAGTGCCAGTTAGGATAGTGGGGATATTTGTCTGCTGGGAACAGTGTCAAGATTGTGGCTCTAGAGGGGTTACGCAAGCTGATTTAAAATGTTAACTTTATTGAACTGCATTGGGCAGGCTTTCCGTAAGGTAGAGATGCAAAATGCTGATAAACAGCATAATATAGTTTGCAACCAGTTCATCATGTAATTTGACTATGTGTGCACCATGGGCTTTAAATTGCACTCAGTTACACCTGCACTGAGGTCCATGATTGGCTAGAGTGAAAATTTGCTCGTTTCTTTGACCAAGGAAAAGTTGTTATTTCACTCTGTTCCTATGCCAGAATAGAAAACTGTAGCAATGACATACAAACATGGGGTAGAAATCCAAATGTGCTGTGAAGGCTACGTATGATATGGGCAACAAGACAAGCAATTAGATAAGTGTCCGTTAGAAGTAGTCTCAGTTTAAGTGTTTTGACTTGTAAAAAGGTGTGTAGGAATCTACAGCTTAGGCTTTTATACATTGAGTAATTAGTCTGTTAGTAATTAGGCTGTTCCTCTCAAGTTGGGAATTACGTTTTAGGAAGAAAAATCTTGTTCTGTATTTTGTCCATTTAATAAGGAACGAATTACCTGTCCTGAGATCCCACTTAGGAAAGGGGTATGACCTGATTAAGCCCCTTATTGCCTTCTGCCACAAGGATAAAACACCATCCTTGCAGCAGATGATAACAAACCAGATTCTCTAATTAGACTCTAGATATTTCACCTTTTTTGAGCTGCCTGTTTTGTTAATTCTTTTAGGGAAAAGAGATGGATGAATGAGACAGAATTCCTTAAGTGTGTTGGCCAAACTAACACCTTGCCGGTGCGGGGAGTGGGAAGTCTTGCTTCTCCCTGTTCCTTCCTGCTCTCCTGGGGGCCGATCAAGTTCACTAACCAAGCAGAAAACTGCCTGCTTTATTTATTCATTTAGTCTGGCTGTCTTAGTCTTCTACCCTGCCTCAATGAAGTTGGCTCGTTAAGGGGTGTGATGAATGCTAGAGGTGGGGTAAGTTAGGAGGTGGGGGATAGTGCTTAGTGGGAAAGGGTAGAATGTGGTGGTGGGAGCTGGGCTTCTCTCGCGCAGCAGCAGGGAGATGCTGTATCAGCTCGCTTGGTCTCACAGAACCGCATCTTGACATAGGATTGGGGAAAAGTTAAATAAGAAAAAGGTAACGTGTGGCATTACAGCTGGAGGATGAATTTCACAGAGCAAGGTTATAACCTAACAGTTAGAGCACTGGAGTGGACTTGGGCGTTCAGTGGTACTTAACTTTGTTGCTGATTTTTTGGGAGACCAAGAACAAGTCATTTCACTTCTCTTTGCCAGAACATTTCATCTAAGATCATTTAAGATCTGCAAAAAATTACCAGTGAATTGTCAAAGAAATTAGTATTACCTTGAAGTTTCCTCTTAAGAACCTAGAGCAACAACTTGGTGATTGTATGTACTATGCAGTTATGCTTTAATGTGGAGCGAAAGACTCTGTAGTCCCACTGTAGCATGTAATTTCTACCTGATTTGCAAATGACATAGGACACTCGCATATTTTAATTTGTGGCAAATGGTGTGTCCTAAACAAAATACAAACAAATGAGACTCTTATCTGACTCCCATTGCAAAATTGGTAGTGAGGCTGCTCTGCAGCTATGGTGTTGCTGGTAACCATCTTTCTCCTCCACTGCCCTGTTTTTGCCTTCCTTGACATGCACAGTACCAGTGGTTTTACCTGTAATTCACTGCTGACGTGGTACCAGTTTTATAATTAAACATTATTTGTGCAGAAAGAAACCAGCCTTTTGGTCAAGGTACTTACTAGGATTATAGAAGATAAAAGTTTAGGTCTTCCTGCCAGGGAATATTTCTTTATCCAAAGTGGAACTGCTCCCAAACTCATCCCAATAATAAAGTGGCTTAATAAAGTTCTGTCTCAAAGACGAGTTCTGTATTGTGACACGTCCTGGTTTATATTACATCATAATATGATAAAATATTCTGGCTTGAAGAATACAACCAATACAACCATTTCTGTATGCAGTGAAGCCTAGAGAATACTTTGAAAGTATTGGAGTTGGGAATAGTGACTTTGTGAATTTCATTTTCATTTCAGAACAGTTTGTGTGTACTTCATAAGCAAGTTCAGCACTTCTCTGCTTTGGCTTTTGTTTTATAATAGAGGTGAAAACCATTGCATTATCTTAAATGCTGTGATGAATGTAAAGACACAACTATTCTTATGTAGCAAAATAGTCCACCAATCTCTTGTTTTTTTTTCTTTCTTGTTTTTACAGGATAACTTCTTCAATGCTAGTATTCCTTCTTTGGGTCTACGTAATGTCATATATATCAATGAAACACATACAGGGTAATGTAGCAAATTTTTTTTTTTTTGCTTTTAAAATGCAGTATGTTCTGATCTTATGGCAGGGAAATTTCTAGGATAGTTCGGACTGAGTGAGTATTGCTGTCCTAAAATGCAGGAATTGATGCTGACTTCAGGAAGGTAATGTACTTGTTAAATCCGGCTGTATGTATCTGGGAGCTGGGCAAAGTCCTTTAGGGTTATAGGCAAGGAATGTAAGGGTCAAACCTGTTTCACAAAAAACACAGCATGTTTAAATCCTTTCTCCTTTAGTGCAAATGGCAGCATCCATAGCATAATGCTGAGACGAGCTGTTTTATTCTCATGCTTAAGAATGACTTCGGGCTGCATTTTAATTTACTGAGCAGATCTGACTCGCAATTAGGCATTGACTATTATCAGTAATGATAATTAAATCTGAACATGTCTTGCTAGACTGTCTCTCCTCTGCCTCAGTGGCAGAGTGCAGCTCCTGAAGGATGGTTATATGACCTAAAAATGATGATGTATCTTTATGTTATTGGAAATATATCTTGTGTTCTCGGATGAAGACACTGGAAGTACACAAAAATCTTTATTCTGTTCTTTGGAAAGTTAATAATGCTTCCTAAGGTTTTTACAGTAATCATTAGCATAAGCAGATCCTGCAGTGTTTGTTGTAGAGTCAGAGCAAACAAAGAGAGGCCAACAGCCTGAAAGAAATGAGCCAAAGTGTCTGAGTAGAAGAAAGGCAGCATTGTGCTGTGCTTGAGAGGGAGGAAGCTAATGTTAGAGTCTGTTCTTTCTTCAATTTGAATTAATTATGTTTTTTTAAGAGTTGAGCTTGTAGTTTAGAATACGGAAAAATAACAGAAATAGTGTTTAATTTTAACTTTTTTTTTTTTAAATTAGTTTCAAAAGTCTAATGCTTGAATGGTTTTGAATGCTCAGAGTTACTTAAATTAGAGATACAAGGGCAACAAAATATGGGTTAATGAATTATTCTGAAATAAAATGCCTTTAGCTCAGAATGTCATTATAGTCTGACAATTGACAGTTTTAATGAAGTTCTGAGGTCCCATGGGGTTACACAGTCACAGTTTCTTGGCCTTAGAAAGCAAGAAGGATTCTCTTTAACTGCTACCGTACTGTACTTGTATTGAGACATTACCATGGCTTTTTTCTGAGGTGTGAATATGTTAGTTTTATAATATATCTTGACTGCCTCTATTCTTGTGGTTTTTGTCTTCTATCATTGCTACACGATTAGAAAACAGATTTTTTTCTAATTATACTATGTCCTATCTAAGCTGTAAAATGAATGTAGCAGCTTTTATACCTTGACAGATCCCTGCAATAGCTGCATGCTTTTGTGATGATATGTTCATAGTTACCAAAACTGTTGTCAGAAAGAAGCATATCCTTAACTTTGCTTTTTAGAAAGATCAATAAGGCTCTCAAACTCTGATGGGAAGGGAAAAATGGAAAAGCAATTAGAACAGAGTCACCAGTCTACTTCCCTGACAGCATGAATAGCAAAATTCTTTGTCCTTTGAGATGGTCTGAATATTTGTATAACCATTATGTGTCAGACTGTGCCGATGGCCTGTCCATGTGCACTCATCTTAATTATAGTGCAAGTGGCCTGTGCGCTCGGGTGGTTTGGCCTTTTACAGTGTAAAAGTCCCTTCTCATCTTTCCTAGCTGGTTTTAACACGTGTATAAATTTACCAAAACATGGTAGGAAGGTTTAACAGCCAAGATCAGTAACTCGGGTGGTAACAAGGAGTGAGACCTTGGCGGTACTCCAGCATGGAAACCAGCATGAGTATTGCCACCCCCAGTTCTGTTTGGCACACTTGCTGGAGCATCAGTGATGCATTGCATTATCCTCAGGACAGGGTTTTTGAATAATACCGAGTGCTCCAGTCTTAGGAATGGCCAGAGTTTAATTTCTTCTTCCAGCTGTTAGTTCTGCCCCGTCACATCCGCTCTGCTGTTCAGGGATCCCAGCTCTGGTTTGTGGAGTGACCCGCATGTGTGGTAGTTTGTCCAGTCCTGAGCTGGTGAGTGAGGTAGGGAACTGTGAGGAGAGAAAACAGTAATGAATAGTCACTGCTGGGGACTGGATTTTGTCCCTTCCCGTGTCACAGGCATGTTCTGTGATGTTAGGAAAACTGTTCAAAGTAACGTGCTTGTAGGATCCAGAGAGCAGCGGACAGGGTTAATTTAAAAGGCAGAGACTGACCACATAAGCTAAGTTGCCTTACTTAAATGCTTGAATGGTAGAGAGATTTACTGATTATTTAGTGGTTCTACTTCTGTTAAAACTTTGTAAGGAGAAGGTACATAGGAGGTACATAGGACTGGGTGTTTAAAAACACTGGAAAGGAAGAAAAGGTTACCAAAAAAGTGTTTTTAGTGTCAGTGGCGAACGCGGACGTATTTTCAAAAGTGCCTGTGAGAGTTTACCCTGTGCATACAATGTGAGCAGCCTTCTCAAGAGGGCTCAGTGTTTCTTGAAGAAGTTGACAAACCTCTTAGCTGGGCATTTACATTCCTCCGTGGAAAGTCACTGAATTGGAAATGGGCACTACATCTTGTTTTGTCCTCGCTGAGCTGGGGAGGCGGTTCCAGCAGACCGACAAAATGTATATGCTGGTTTGTAGCTACTCTCCTGTAATACTATGGATGTTTTAAGGCCAGTATCGCACTGAATCGAAGTAACGCAAACTTCAGTTGTCTCAGATATTTTGTGCTACACATCAGTTATTTCATCTGTAACGTTAACAGATTGACAATTTACTAGAAGATACAGAAGCTTTTAGGCAGCCCTTCATAAAACTTTCTTTTGCTTCTTACTTGTATTTTTAGGTATTTTTAGAATTAATTTTTTTGGCAGTGAAATATTTTGAGGGTAACACTCAAATACCCTTGATATTTTTGTAGGTACAGAGGGTGGCTTGCAAGACGCCTTTGTTATGTCCTTTTTGTGCAAGAGAGGGATGTTCATAAGGGTATGTTTGCCAAGAATCTGACAGAGAATGTGCTGAATAACAGCAGGTAAGACAATGCAAAATAAACTATTTTTTGTATGACTGATACGCTATAATACAATTTAAGAATTTGGAAATGTCTGATTTTCAAAACCTGCCTATTTAAAACATTAGAAGATACAGTATCTTCAGCACAGCCCTTCAGGACTGTAGCTTGCAATTTCTGTTTGAATAATAAAAGAGGGGAGATTAAGAATTATAAATCTCCAGATGAATGATGCATAGTGGGTGGACAGCAGACAGTACACAGAAAAATAAAATTGTTACATGGGAGCTCTTCAAACGTTTGTTTATCTAATTCATGTAAATCATTACCACTGAAGTCATACTGCAGTCATCAGAAATTGTCAGTGTTTCAGAACTAATAGGAAAGCAGCATTTCAGAGTACCCTGAGCGTACACCAAGAGCATGAGGCAAAACTGGAAAAAGGCTATCAGATAAAATACCCACCCTTTATTTTGTGGAGCTTGTTTTCTGTTTCATATACGGCATTTTAAATGGCACATTTTGCCCCTGATTAACTATTAACGTATCAGTTTTCCCTGGACACAAAGAAATTCAACCGCATGCCTGCTCCTTCAGTCTGCTTCTGTCAGAGGCCACACATTGCCTGTGTTAACATTCCTAAGTCTCCTGAATTTTTAATGTTCGAGTCCCATCTGGAGATGATAGTGTTGCTTTTGAAAAGTAAGGCAGACCGTGTTGTGCCACAGCTACGGTGTGTTAAACCACTTAATCGCTCTTAGTTATGTTTTAAATGGGGAAAATAGGCCTTATAAAATTTAGCTACACTTTGTAAAACTGAGAATTCAAAGGGAAAGATATCGCAGAAGTGCAAAATAGCAACTGCATAAATCTGTGTAATGAGGTAAGTGAAATTTCTATGGCAGGAAAAAGAAAATATTAGCAAAGAGGAGATTTCAGTTGTTCTTTCTGCATTTCTAACCTTATTAAACGTTTCTGAAAATTGGCGATCACTTAATATCAGTACCTGTGAACTGCGTACATACAGTTTTAGGTGGTCAACTTCGAGCGTGTTCATCCATCATCCACCTATTTCATCAGAGCTTAGAAAACTACTGAATTAAATTTAATGCATTTGGAGTACACAATACTTCAGTGTGCATGTTCTTTCATGCCTGCAAGTTACTTCTGTAGTAATATATAGCTCATTCCCAGCAGTTGTTGTCTGTGTCTTGAACTCTTCTGTTGTTGGACTGTCTCATAAGTTTTACTTTTTAATGTTAGAGTCCAGAAGGCCATTATAGATGAAGCTTCTGAACCAAGTGCTCCGGGTAGTTTTGCTCAGACGGATCCTAAAGCTATCAACAAAGTGAAGAAAAAAGCTAGGAAAATTCTCCAGGAAATGGTAGCAAATGTGTCACCTGCTTTGATCAGGTAAGAAAAATGGCTCATCAGTATTGTCAATAGGTAGAAGGATGGCCAAGCTCTCTTTGTATTATACCAGCAGAGCTTGTAGCACATTATTCATAAATAATGAATAATTATTCTAAAAAATAATACATTAATAAAAATCCCTTTTCTAATGTTAACTATTGAAATGGTAGTTATTCTTAATTTTCAGATGCAACAGAAACCCTCTACCTTTTCAAGGGACAAATCTTATGATAAGATTAAATACAGACCTTTTTTTTTTTTTTCCTCCTGAAACTAGGCTTGGTGCTAATGCTTAGACCAATATTAGTATCCTTTGTTGTTTCAGGCTGATATGGGCAAGAGCAGCTAGCTGCAGCATCTTAGACTGTGAAACATCTTTTTTCCAGTAGCCCATTGAGTATCATAACCTGTAGTTATAAATATCTCGGAGAGAATCTGACCTTAGATAAAATCTTCTACTGTGGTGTCTACCTTTACTACTCAGGATGAATGTCTGTGTCACGTTCCTAGACTTTTGTGATGCAAACCCTGTATTTTTTTGTAACTATATTAAATTCTCCCACAAGACCAGATACATGTTGTCACCTAACGTGTCACCTAACTAGCTTAGTTATTATAACTGATTATTGGACCTCCATTAACTTGCCCCGTATGTAAAGTGGTCTCTGCCCTTTGAACAGCCTTCAGTGAGGTTGACAATAACAAGTTTTGTGTCATAATTGCAGGAGACTGAAATGTGGTTACTAACCATGGCTTAGCTGATAGGCAAAAACTTGTTAAGCAATTGGATTTTATAGTAATTTTGTTTGAATATGATGTAATCAGATTTTATGGCTTTGTCTTTAGTCATATAGAAGCAATATAAAATGGAGGCAGCAATGAATGAAACTTTCTGAGTTGTGTTTGTTCTTCCTTCAGGTTGACTGGCTGGGTGTTACTGAAGTTGTTTAACAGCTTTTTCTGGAATATTCAGATCCACAGAGGTCAAATAGAAATGGTCAAAGCAGCAACAGAGGTAAGGGAGGGTGGGGAAGAATCTGGTAAGGCAGATTTCTGATGTAGTTTCTGTTAATGTTTACAGCACTTTCTCTTTTTAGGAGAGTTCTGCTAAGTCTGTATGATACCAGGTTGTAGATAGATGTGTCTTATGTCTGTGAAATAGTGTTTTTAATTAAATACAATGCTCTTTGAGTTGTGTAACCTAAAATACTATGTGAACTCTGGTTTTACCTTTGTTTCAGGATCAAATTTTAACTGTCGGGCTGAATGATTATCTTGGATAACCTGCATCCAGCAGTATTTCTTTTTTTTGTGCTGAGGCAGCCAGTAATAAATTAGTAGGTCTATTTAGGATTTCTCACTCTTACCTTATTTGGAATAAAAATCTTTTAAGAAATAAAATTTTCCTGTTTCTTACTAGCAATCTGTTCCCAGTCCTTCGATAGTTATTGAAATTTGTCAAAATAACTCTTAAACGCTACCATTTTCTTTACACTCAAAGGAATTGATTCTTTTTGCAGGGTTTGCCTTAGAAAGATGGATTAGATAAATAAACAAAAAAAAGGTTCCTAATATTTTCTGTTGTCTTTTGATTACAGTGTTTGGGAACCCCACTATTCATAGATTCTTGCTGATATCTAACAGAAACAAATAGCAGTACTTGGGTGACACTGGCGATTTGACCACATCCCTTTAATTGTTTGATTGTTGTCTCAGTACTGTGAGTCTGAAGAAACTGGCAATATTAATCATTGTTTTATGCATACAACTAAAAACTACAGTCTGTGAAAATTAAGAAGTACAGTTGACTAAAATGTTTTCATTGTCACAGCTGAGTGAAAACCAGAAGTAAACAAACTGAATGATGGTAACTGAAAAATACCATCAGTTCCGATAATATGATGCTAGCAATCTCAGTGATGGTTTTTAGAAGAGGAGTAATATTCCGCAGTTCTTACCAACTGTCTTCTCTCTTTTTTTCCTTCTTTCTCCATCATAGATGAATTTGCCTCTTATCTTCTTGCCTGTTCACAAATCCCACATTGACTACCTGCTCCTTACATTCATTCTTTTCTGCCATAACATCAAAGCACCCTACATTGCTGCAGGGAACAATCTGAACATCCCCATCTTCAGGTAATAACCTCTTCTTATTTGAAAAAGACTGAGGTCAGGTGATCATCGGGTGACCTATTGCACACTATATCTTATGTCCAGGTTTAAGATAATCTGAGTATTATTGGGCCATTGTGTAGAATTTCTTTGGTTCCTATTATATGCTCAGAGAGAGAGCATAAAAATCCTGAGAAATTCTGTCATAACCTAAGTAGAGTAAGGAAAGATACTCCCTTCTTCTAGGACTCTCAAAGTGGGTAGGTGACTAAGGAAAGGTAAGTATGTGAAGAAGTGTGTATGTTCTGGTCGTCTTCATGAAGGTTAATGAGCTGGCTAATAGGCAGCGACAGTACTGAGTGAATAGTACTTTCCGGGCAAGTACTCCAGTTTAAATTATATTTCTGGTGGCTGAAGAACATAAGAAGGTCTTTTAGGTAGTATTTTGCCAGTGAGACAGAATTTGGGGATAATTGATTTCTGAAAAGCCGCTGGATCTTGCTGGAAGCGGTGAGGAAAGAAGGGGGATACCTTGACTTAGAGGGTGTTTTGCACCAGTGCTGGTCTGTGATGATCCCAGTAAGAAAGGCATTCAAAGTATCAATTAAAATGCTGTTTATTAGGGCTAGCAGTATAAAGAAAGAGAGACTAGCATAGGTGATCTAACATCCCTTTAGTTGCTGAGAACCCCGAGTTGTGCAGCATCCAGCAGGCCTCCAATGTGTATGCGGCACACCATGAGGACCCTGCCCACAGAAAGGGTTACCACATTTTGGTCATTCGAGCTAGTATAGGATTTTCTTACAAGAAAACAACTCTATTCATCATTTCTTCTGTCAAGTAGAAAGGATGTTCTCATGAGAACTTCTTGCTGCACTGTTAGATAAAGGCAAGGCCACGCAGGTGGCATAATTGCTGGTGCCAAGTGGGAGCTGCTTGCAGGCTGCTCTGTTAAAATGAGCTGGCTGAGCGGATCCTGCAGCCAAGGGGCATGTGCAGCACGACACCGGCACGAAGGCCATGCAGCACAGCACATACTGCGGCCAGCTCAGGTTAACCATTACATGGTTCACCAACATCGCAATGTACAGTAGTCTCCCGGTTGGGGTCACTGCAGAGGGTAAGTAGTCTGTCAAGGGAGTGAAATGGAAAGACAGTGTAGAGAAGCCTGTTTCATGAGTTAAACAGAGGAATATTTGTGTGGTCCCATCATGTGTAAATAGTGTAATACATTTTAGTCTTTGAGAATTTCAGTACTTTCAGTTCCTGTTGCATCCTAGGAATTTTGTACTGAACATGTAGTAGTTTCCTGCAAACTAAAATCAATGAGTTTAATTCTTCTTTATATAGCACATTGATCCGCAAGCTAGGAGGATTTTTCATTCGTCGAAAGCTAGATCAGAGTCCTGATGGTCGTAAGGACTTTCTCTACAGAGCTTTGCTCTACGTGGTATGTATTTCTTGTTTTTGTTTCTGTAGGAAGCATTTCAATCAAGTGGCAAGTGCAAAAGCGAGTTCAGTCAGTCTGGGGATGTTTTTTACTACTTTGAATTTGTCTTAGGTTTCATGCTGCAAAAAAAGGCTACATTTTTGTATGAAGTCTTGGATGTGTAGAATAAAAGAGAATTGAATGCCCAGCACCTTTGAGGATGAGCAAATTTTCATCTTGCATAATCCTTATTAAAGAAAGTGGAATTAATACTGTCTGAATTAATGTTAAACTTAAGCCTTGTTTCTCTCATTTCTTTTGTACTGGGGCATATCTACAATGATTCTGTTAACTTAATGGAAGTCTCTGTTTACGATGGGTTGATGTAATCCTTTGTGCCATTCAGTATAGTAGCTCTGTTTGCATCTTGGAAGATGGGATGTACTGAGGAACCAAAAGGAGATACGTATGCAAATCAGCTAGATCAACTGTTGCTAGAGATGCTGTTCTTGAACAAATGGCATTATACTGCTTGTATATTCACGCAAGTTCAGCTGCAGTTTGGTCTGGGTTTGTGTCAAGCATTAATTATTGCTTTTGGTTTTTTCGCAAGTATTTATGCCAACTCATGATCTTCCAATGTTTTTAAAAGGAAATGGTTGGTGACAATGTATTTCAAATGTGAATTTGCCAGTATAATTAGATATTTGGTTTTTCCTCTTTTCCAATCCTTTTGTATTCAGCACATAGAAGAATTGTTGAGACAGCAGCAGTTTTTAGAAATATTCTTGGAAGGCACACGGTCTCGAAGTGGAAAGACATCTGGAGCTAGAGCAGGCCTTTTATCTGTGGTTGTGGATGCTCTCTTCTCAAATGCTACTCCTGATGTCCTAATTATACCTGTGGGAATCTCCTATGATCGCATAATTGAAGGTCACTATAACAGTGAACAGCTGGTAAGAGCAATTGAACCACTTGTTTTGCCTAGGGGGTTTTCTGTTTATGTGCAGGAAAATGTGTTACGTAGTTAAATTATGTGCTAGTAGTCCTCTGTCACATGTACGTGGTGGTAATGTTGAAGAGCATAGAGCCATGAATCACAAAACCTCTTTGACAGGGAGTGCTGAGGTATGGGTGACATACTTCTAAATGCAAATCTATGACATAACAAATTATGTGGTCAAGTGGATATATATGGAAAGCAATAGTTCTCTAGATTTACTTAAAGTTATAAGGTGCGTCAAAAGATTAGGTCTTGTTTTGTCTGCTGTTGCATGCATTTTAATTTTAAACATAACCTTTTAATTGCAAATTGGAAAAACAACAAAATAACCACCCATGTTTTCCAGGGCAAGCCTAAGAAGAATGAAAGTCTTTGGAGTATAGCTAGAGGAGTCTTCAGAATGCTGCGGAAGAATTATGGGTGTGTCAGAGTAGATTTTGCGCAACCATTTTCCTTAAAAGTAAGTTTGATATTTTGCAGATCCTTTTGAAGGTTTGACATTTTTGGTATTTCAATAGTGGGACGCATTTATTTTGATTTTTCTCTTTGTGGGTTATCATCACTAGCATTATCTACTGAAGTCCATTCAAGTGGGACAAAAGTATCCCTGGTTTGCTGACGGCATGAGTCTTCGGACACATTTGTGTTAAGCTGAAATAGTCTCAGAATTGATATAAAGGGTTGTGTTAGGTTTGAAATGGTGTAAGTATTCTCATTGGGGTTCTTGGTTTGGTTTGTTTCAACAAACAGTCTTTAAAATTATCCTTGTACCATGTTTAAGTTGTCAAGACATTTGGAGTTGAAGGAAACTGAATACTGTTCTGCAGTTTGAGTAATTGAATGGTTTACACTGTTGTTGAGGAATGGCATTCATCTCGCTGGATATTTAAAACTGCTGAGCAAATTAGTAGCTATAAAAGTATTATGGATCATAGATCACAAAAATCTGCATATTCTTTGAACATGACAGTTTATTATTAGTTTACAGTTATTACTCTATAGTAATTCACCAAATACTGTTGTGTAGTTTCTCAGGGAATGGGGTGGTGCAGTACTAGCTGCCTTCACTTTTTAAATTTTCTCTGATCTCTTTGCAGAATCCGCTAATACTATACTTAATTTATCTGCGTTTCACTAATCTGTGTTCGGCTACAGTATGCCTTATTTTTAGTGTGACTTTAATAAGATTAACTACTGTAACAACAACCTACTAGAACATTATTCAAATTAATTAGGTGTTCTTCTTTCTGCCCTACTTCTCCCAGAAAAGCAGTAGGTTGGAGAGCTTTGGAGGGTTCAATTACCGCAGCATGAAATTACTGTGACTGTCTGCACTGCATTATAATTAGCATAGTAGGGAAACGTATTAATTCACTTCCAAAGGAGAAGGCTTGGGTCAGTTCCAGGCTGTTCTTGGTAGGGAGTTAACAATTGTTCTTGGATCAGTGTAAGGAAAAGAAGGTTATCTGTCCTCTTAATCTAGTGAAATGCTGATCACTGTATACCTTCCTAGCAACCTCTGTCGGGTGTCATTTGTATGTGTATTTATTTTTGTACTCCAGAAAGGCAATAAATGGCATAAATTGTTTAAGTATGCCTTAAGCAAGATTTGCAGAAGTGTAACTGTATTTTTAAATTGATGTAGTTATTGTCACTGCAGGTTTTTCTAAAGGAGAGGAGCTTTGGGGGTTAATTCTGGGCATCTGCAGTTCTGTGAGCAGAGGCTTAGAAGCAGAAGAGAGTGAGCTGGCTGTGAAAGTCTTTCAAGCAGCTTTCCTGGGAGGGAACTGTTCTCCTGACCAGCAGGTTAAGTGGCTCTTTAGTTTCCCACATCAGTCTTTATAGAAACTGAAAGAACAGAGTGTCCTGAAAACAGAGTAATGTAAATGCTAACCTGTAAGGAGAGGTGTTTGGCTTTTGAGAAATTTGGAATTCAAGAATTCCCAGCATGCGGTACCCTGCCTCCTTCCTGGGTGCTTTAGTTTGGGGCACTGCGAGGGGGTCTTGCAACTGGAGTTGCTACACTGGTGTTTACCTATGGAGAAGTTCCCTATCCTGGCATTTGAGGAAAGCAGCAGCAAGCAATAATTACGGTCTCCGTGTTGGTTCTGAAAGGGTGTTAGACTTCGCTCTCATTCATGTTAATGAAGGCAGTTCTCATTAATTTAATGATGGAGAAGCTAGTCTCAAAGGAGTTTTCCCAGCAGGATGCTGACAGGGGTTATGTGTTGTTATTGTTGCAATATTTTTTATGAAGTACTGATTCCTTGCTGTGGAAAGTTTGCCTTTTCATAAAATAAAATCAAAAGTGAATAAAATGTTGCAAACCTTTAAATTCTGTGACCTTACTACTGCTCTTTTAGTGTGAGCTATTTTTAATCACTGTTGCACTTTTGAGTAATTGCCGTTTTCATATAACAATATTATCAGCTGAATGCAGGAATAAGGTGGAAAAAGTACAAAAAATAACAAATCTTCTCTTAACAGGAATATGTAAACAGCCAAAGCCAAAAACCTGTGCCTGCTCCTCTTTCTTTGGAACAAGCTTTGTTACCAGCTATACTTCCATCGAGGTAGAGATTTTTTGCGTGTTGGGGAAAGGGAGAACAGATAGGGGTTGGTTGGTTTGTTTGTCTTTTTAGTGTTCTGCATTACATTCCAAGCAGTGCTTGAACTCCCCAAAGGTGATACAATTGTGTATAGAAAAACTAAAAACATAGACGATTGTAACTGTGCAATTTATTATGAGAGTTGCATTTTTTCTGGGGAGATCTGTTTAAATAAGCTTGAGAAGGCTTTTTTTTTCTTTTTTAAATTTTAGTGACCTCTGTTGGTTTAATTTTAAATTTTAGAGAATAACTTAGGGGAAAAAATGACACACAATGAAAAATGAAAGATTTGGTTTTAAACCTCACAAACATTTCAGGTGGGTTTTGGTATAATTCCAAAGCAAATAGGACTTGTGAGTGAGTACCCCTTGCTCAAGGAGGTGACTGTCACTCAGAAATGCAAAACTGTGCTCAAGGCCTAGATCTGCATTTGTTACACAGATGTCCATTTTAGCTGAGGTCTTAGCTTGACTTGTACAAACTTGTGTGGTCCTAGAAGAGACAAAGTCAGTCATTTATCTTTAGAAAGTTTTAGGTCCATACAGAAAGGCCATTTCTAGTTTGTAGAGAGGCTGGGCTGGGCTGGAAACTACCTTTTAAGGCAGATTTGCTTAATCTACTGTTGTCCATATTCATTGAAGGGAAAAGAGCTGTGGGATGCAAATGATGTAATGGCAAAGTCAGGAATAGCCATAGGACAAGGTAAACATTCTGTATTGCAATTTTTCTTTTGGTGGTCTTTTCTTGGATTGTTCTTTAGTGTGAAGAAATAATCTGGAAAAGTTGGTAGATATTAAAATTTTTTTGGAGCTTGTCTCACATAACGTTTTTGTGCCCTTACCAGACTGCATAGTGGGTTTTTTTGTGCTGTCGTTCAGTTAGTGTATTAAAAAAAATCAGTCTAGTTTATTTTACATTTTGATCAAAATCTAAATGTCATAATGTGAATTTTTGTTCTGTATTCAGACCTAATGATACTGTCGATGAAGGTACAGAGGCCTCACTGCCCAACTCCAGGGATATCACTAGTGAACCCTTCAGAAGAGAGCTGATATCCAACTTGGCTGAGCATATTTTGTTCAGTAAGTGTTATAGTATCACTATCAGTTACCTGTTTTGTTTTGCTGATTGCATGAAGTAACTTATTGTTTGGTAATGTCATACTTCCCAATTCCCTCCATTCAGGTGATCATTTCATGACTTCAAATGCTTTCTTGACAATTCTCCATCCCTTGCCTCCCTCCCTCCTTTTCAAAGTTTAATAAACTCTCTGATTAAGTACAAGCTTTTTATTCTGTTTTGGTAACTTTTGTATTCCTTGGACTAGTATACTGAACTTGCTGTACTCTGAAGTGTTTGATTGTCATACTGATACACTGATTTCTTATCACTTCATATAAGAAATTATTGCAGTGTTTTAATGGCATTATTTAAGATAGTCCTCAGGTAAACTCATCTAGGTGCATGGACCAGTGTTGCTAGATTTTATAGTTTATGTGGTGTATGCTTCATTCAATAGATCTGTGATTTGTGGTATGAGATGCCTACAAAATGATACTTAGCTTAGTAGACATTTATGCTTTACTCAGCCTTCTTAGTTCAAGTTACTTTAATTTGATTAATATTGTTACTATATAATACATAATACACTTTGTATTTCATTCAGAAGGTACGGTTCTGTGCCAGTATCACTACTTTTTTTTTTTTTTTTTTTTTTTTTTTTTTTTTTTTATTTTTGTTCTCATTTAACTTGCATCACTGCTCTTCAGTATTTGAACAGGGATTGAACAGGGATACGATGATGAGCATAATGCAGTATTTTGCTAATAAACCATAAAACCGTTTTTCCCATGTTTACCTTTTTTTTTTTTTTTTTTTTTTTTTTTTTTTTTTTTTTAAATAATGGGTACTCTTTCAGTTGGAATGATGTTCTGAACTTCTCAGGTGCATAATGAGTTTATCTTGTTTGTGTCTAGCTGCTAACAAGTCCTGTGCTGTGATGTCTACCCACATCGTTGCCTGTTTGCTGCTGTACAGACACAGGCAGGTAAGGCTTCCATGCTGCTTGAATAGCCAAACATTACTTTGGCCTTGTTAATTAAAAAAATAGTATGCATTTTACTATTGTGTGATACTAATAAAAGAAGAAAGATGCATTTAAATTAAAGTGGATTTCAGGTAATCTTGAGTGCAGTATTTTAGTTAGTGTAGTGGATGCTTGAAGACAAGCCATTGTTGATGGGATGATAATAAATACTCACGTGGAAATAGATTTTTGTAATTCAAAATGTAGTTATGCTTTTTTAAAAGAATACATTGTTTTTGGTTCATTGCATTAAGATTGTTTTTTACATCTTAAGTGCATTCGCTGTTGAATATCCTAGAAACTCTTCTGTTAATTTTCAAATGGGTTTTGCCGTTTCTTGGTACTAGAATATTATACCATGATGGCAAAGTGATACTAATGTTTAACTGAAGTCTTGTGCATGAGGCATGGAAGAAATTCTTTTTCTCCTACAAGTGTGTTTAGCATTTTTTATGAAATGCCTTCTGCCTCTAATCTGAACCTTTTATTGCACATAAATCGAGAACAAATTGAAAAATACTGGTCAGATATGTAATCGTCCTCCTTGAAGACAGTATCGCTATTCCTGTGAGCCCAGTCTTTCCAATTCCCTAAAATAATGGGATCAAAGAAGCATTTTACAATGTGATCTGAAACCATCTTGACAAAAAACAAGGAAAAGAAGTGCTTGAGGAAAAACTTTTCCTCAGGTCCCCAAACAATTGAAGAGAAGTTCTGCTAATTACAGTATTCCCATATAATTGGTCATTCATTTTATAGCATAGGTAATGGAAATATGATATCTCTAACATGTTCTTAAAGAACAACTCAGGTCTCTGCAGGTTGTGAAATAAACCAAGAAGCAAACAAAAAACTTGGATTCTCAAAGTAGCTGCATGGCTTTACAATATAATTGCTTATAATTCAAAACCTGTGGATTATTTTAGCAATATCTCTGTGAAAACATGGTTTTCTAATAGTACTGTTGTGCTTTGGATTTTTGAAAATTAATGGCTTGTTTATGTGTTTGCTGTATACATAGGCCGCACCTATGTGCTAGGCCGCACCTCAAATATTGTGTTCAGTTTTGGGCCCCTCACTACAAGAAGGATATTGAGGTGCTGGAGCGTGTCCAGAGAAGGGCCACGACGCTGGTGAAGGGTCTGGGGCACAAGCCTTACGAGGAGCGGCTGAGGGAGCTGGGGTTGTTTAGCCTGGAGAAGCGGAGGCTGAGGGGAGACCTTATCGCTCTCTACAACTACCTGAAAGGAGGTTGTAGTGAAGTGGGGGTTGGTTTCTTCTCCCTAGTAACGAGTGATAGGACGAGAGGAAATGGCCTCAAGTTGTGCCAGGGGAGGTTTAGATTGGATATTAGGAAAAATTTCTTCACTGAAAGAGTAGTCAGGTATTAGAACAGGCTGCCCAGGGAAGTGGCTGAGTCCCCATCCCTGGAGGTATTTAAAAGCCGTGTAGATGTGGTGCTTAGGGACATGGTTTAGTGGTGGACTTGTCAGTGCTAGGTTAACAGCTGGACTTGATGATCTTAAAGGTCCTTTCCAACCTTAACGATTCTATGATTCTATACAAGATTATGTGGTTTACGGATAAACTCCTGTGCAAAAAAAAATTGCTTCCCTTTATGATTATGATTTTGTTTCCAGGGAACTGATCTTTCCAGGTTGGTAGAAGATTTCTTTTCCATGAAGGAGGAGGTCTTAGCCCGTGACTTTGACTTGGGATTTTCAGGGAACTCAGATGATGTTGTCATGCATGCCATCCACTTGTTGGGGAACTGTGTAAATATCACAAACACTAGCCGAAACAATGAGTTCTTCATCACTCCCAGCACAACGATACCTGCTGTCTTTGAACTCAACTTCTACAGCAATGGAGTACTTCACGTATTTATTAAAGAGGCCATTATTGGTATGTGTTGGGGTTTGCCAAGGAAAGACTTTCTTGTGACCCATGAAGTCAAAGTATCTGCACAACCACCCCCACCCCCCATTTTGCATGTAATTTACTGACATATATTTCTTCCCTCCCTGCTTCAGCCCATGTTTACTCTAACAAAAACAATTTTAAAGTAAACTTGGTTTTGGTTTGTAGAATGTTTCACTCATTTTTCTCATAATCCTTTACCTTTCTTGGAAGTATTAATGTATTGGTAATAGCCTTAGGCAAGGCACTATCAGAGTTTTGAGCCAACATGGCAAAACTTGTGCTTTGGTCACTAATATTTTCATAAGATACTGTTTCAGTCTGACATTAATTGGACACAAATGGAATAGTGGTGAATTCTGTATTTATTCTTCAATTGCATGTGTAATGTTTGACTGCTTTTGTCTATTTCTAGGCCTAAAAGTTTTAAGTTTCCTTCGCTATTTGGATATATCACCTGGATATATTTATATTTGGAAAAATAAACTTAGCTTATGTTTGTTTCTGCTCTAGCCTGCAGTCTCCGTGCTGTTCAGAGTAGGAGGTACAGAAATGGTACCAGTGGTGCTTCTCCCAGTTTGATTAGTCAAGAGCACCTGGTCCGAAAAGCTGCCAGCTTGTGTTACTTGCTTTCTAATGAATTTACTGTATCTTTGGTAAGTAGTGGCATTAATTGTCCGCATGTCAATTTTTTTTTCTGCTTTTAACTGCCTTTGTTACTTTAAAGAGAATTTATGCTTTCTTCAGGTGTCACAGTTCTGATATGTTCACTGTAAATACAGTTGAATGATATGGGTATTGAGAGGTTGAACATTGTTTGAAAAAGGAAGATAGTGTTGTTCCCATTTGCTTCAAGGAAATGCCTGAACATTTGAATGAACATAGTTCCATCAGAACAGTTCATCCAAAAGATGTTTGGCCTAAGATAACACATGAATTAACTTGCCGCACTCTTGACACTACCTCGTTTTCTTGGCAAGGTGTTACAAAATCAGTCAGTCTGGTTTAGGGGATACTTCCTGAGTATGTACTGGGTGCTCATGCAAGTGCTAAAGTGGGTGATGCTGGGGTGAGGCTGCAGAGTTTCTGCTGTGCTGGCTTTAGGCCTTTCCTGAGAAAGAAAAGCTTCTCACTCTGTCAGCTTCCCACAACTGGAAGTCGGGCTTCTTAATGCCTTTTAACAGATTTTGTGTTGCTTATGTCATTAGACCATCACAACTCTTATCTGCATTCTGCCCAAACTATTTCAATGTTTTTTTACTTAAACAAATACAAGTCTTTAAGAATACCCAACTCATATGAGTTTGCATAGATGATTGAAATTACACTGGGAACTAAGGCTCCAGATTCTAAAGATATTCTTAATTTGCATAGGAGTGCAATAGACACAGTGTGCCACACCTAGTACTTAGTGGCAGTTTTAAACATGGCCTGACTTTGGTTTTTGTTTTGTTACAAAACACTGAAGAGAGCTGATGTTATCTCGGTTTTCAGACACTCTGTATACTTGCAATGTTAAATGCTAGATTTTTTTTTTCTTATGTGTAGAAGTTACTTAGAATTCTAGAGATTCTTGAATTAGTTCTTAAATTTGCACACATATTTCTAACTTGTGCCTTTTTAAATGAAGCGTAAGCCAAATTTAGTATTTTTGTCTGGGCAGTAATGTAGCTCAGATGGTGGGGTTCTTTAGTAATATTATCCTTCTGCTTTCAGAGTTAATAATTGATTTTTTTTTTTTTTTAACTTTGAAAATATTTCCAACATGATTATGAACAGTGTAAAAGAGGTTAGTTTTTTTTATTCAGTTTCAAAACACGTAAGGGAATTTCTTAAAAGTGTACTTTCCTTTAAATTCCAAATAAATGACTGGTATGAGTCTCAGTGATTTTAGTTTTAGGATGATTTTATTCCAGAATTGTTAACAAACTAAAATTTGGTTAGAGGCGATTAAAAGGGGAGAATATTAAATGTAGTTTTCTACCAGTGTAGTAATGCATTGCTTCAAAAAACTTGGACAAATTTTAAATATCCTATTTCACTGTAATTTTTTAATGTCTGCCAAGCTAAACATAAGAGTGGTGCATTGGGATTATGCTGGTAAAAGTTTCATAACTTGCTTAAAAGGAATAATACTGCTGTATCTAAAACATTCAGGGGGACTGGTGTTGCTATAATAGGTATAATGGACGTGATTTTTTGAGTGCATTTCTTTTGTTGTGCAGCCTTGCCAGGTGATATATCAAGTTTGCCATGAATCTGTGGAAAGGCTGATACAATACGGTATTCTTCTGGTGGCAGAGGTAAGGTGATAGAGATACTAAATGAGCTTTGTTTCTTGTACTTCACTTCAGCTGTAGGTAGTTTATGCTTCGTAGTTGAGTCTTGTTCTAAATATATGCTGTTACTGAAGGCTTGTAACAATTTAACAAATCCAGGACTGATACTACTTCATTCTTACATTTATAAGCATCAGACATTTGCGTATAGTCATCCTGTGATGCCATGAATGACTCTGTGTGTAATTTCATTGTACTATTCAACCTACTAGGAAAGACACATATTTTATACTGTCTTGTAAAATCATAGAATCATAGAATGGGGATTTATTTTACTATTGTGCATAAATAAATAAATGGGTATTCATTTTATTATTGGAGCCCTTTCAAATTGTAGCATAGCTACATGGATGTTGACTTTCTACTCTACAGGATTTAGTAGTCCAGATCTTTTGTCATTCTTTGATTCCTTTGCATCGGTCTCAAAATTATTGTAAACCTCCTCTGCTACGAGGAGTACAGTAACTGCCAGTTTGCAGATTCAGGGATGCACTGGAGTCGCTGTGTGGTGCAATCTGCCAGAGCCGTACAATGTAAAGAAAACGTGAGGACCAGGGGGCAGCTGACTCAGCATACCTTTGCTTCCCAAACTTTTTTTGTGCACAGGAAACAAACCTTGGTGCCCAGGAGGAAGCAACAAAATTTAAAGAACACATGGAAGAGAGTTACATATTTGGCTGCTTTCTTCTTGCAGCTCTCCAGTTTCAAATGAGGCCAGAGCTGCTTCTGGTGTATTTGTTAATGGCCACTGCTTCACTCTAATCTTGCTGCATAGCTTTTGCTACATGCTTCCATTTTTAATATGTGTAACCACAGGTACTATTCACTTGATAGAACTCAATATTAAGCATTCTCCTCTTTTGGAGTTACTACTGCTTGCTTTTTGTCTGAAGTACTGACATGTTGTCATGCATTAGAGTGTAATCATTGTTAGATAAATCCAAAAATGAATGCTAATCAGAGGGTTAGGAAGAAACCTGTATGTTCCATGCCTGGGGACAGATAAGGAAAATAGGTGTGGACAGCAGTAGGTATGTACCTCTGTCTACTCAAGCGTGAAACCTGTCTTGAGGGTTTTTCTGTACGTTTTGGTTGCTGAGTCTGGTACTTTGCTGTTTATAGCTGGGATATAGATAGCTATTAGGCAGTATATAAATATTTGTCTGTGTTGTCTGAAATACACCAGCAGTGCAACATTTGAATGCTTAAAAAGGAGATACATTCCATCAGTAAATTTCTTTGAACTTAGAAAACCTCTGTACCTGCTTACTTCTTTTAAAATGTTAAGAATTTGCATAATCAGTGCAAACACTATAAGCAACAGTTGTTTCATGATTTTGGACAGGTTGGAAATGTTTGTGGGGTTTTTACAACCTCTTCTCTAAGAAAGGTAGCTAGCTTCTGCCCCATCTAATTATTTCAGTTTACTGCTGACATTGACATGTTGATAAATTTCCCATTAAATTAAGCTTGATTGATCCATGCTTTTTTTTTTTTTTTTTTTAAATTCTTTTCCTGTGATTCTAGTGTTTACTTCAAAAACTAAGTCATATTCGTAACACGTAGTGATCTCTTCGGTAGTTTTTAAACTTATTTTGTGGCCTTTGGTTCATTCAAAATAAAACATTTGATCAGAGTGTAAGACTGGAAGGATGTCAGTCTTCATTTGCTGCAGGGGCTTTTTTCTTTGTCATGAATATTATGACAGTAATCACATCTACAAGGTGTCTCTTATCCATTTGGTTTTAATCTTGCCTGATTCTCGTTTCTAAATGGAATAACTGTATGGGGGTCTTTCATCAGTAACTTAGCACCTTTGAAAATTCTTTCTGTTCTACTACTTTTAAGCAAAACAAATAATGGTGAATGACTGACACTAAGGCTTCCCTTATTCTTTCGAGTGTGTGTTCGCTATCTCTAAAACACATTTCTGAAGATTCATTGTTGAAATTGAATGTTGCACAGACATTGATCAGTCAGGTGGAGTATTTCTTTTGCACCTCAGTTACTGTACACCTGAACTTGTGACACACCTGCATTATTGTCTCTGGCAGATTACCTCGCTATGCCCTTGCAAGTGAACTTTACAATACTTTACAGCTTTGCAAAGCACTTTAGTAATTAATGGTTTTACTAAAATAGATGGTTTTATTAAATAGATGAAAAGCAAACAACAAACTCTTCTTCCCTCACAATATTCAAGTTAAGAAATTCCACCAGTGGTATTCTTGCTGTCACACGCTCATCTCAAAAGCCTGAAGAAATGTATACTTACCTAAGACACCTACTTGCTAATAAGTGTAAGTCTGTGTCTTGCTCCAAGGGTGGATTACTGCAGGGCATTTGTAGGCTAAACTTGGATGGTGCTTGTCAGGGTGATTAGCAGAAAGGAACTGCTGTGATGCAACAGGTAGAGGGGTCTTAATGTCTCAACATAATCAAGGTTTAAACAATTTGGGGCCTTTGTGATTAAAACTGGCTCATTCTCTTCCAACCAATATCTCATGTGGGGACAAATAGAAGAGCAGCATCATTACAGGCAGTAAGTTACCACTTCCACATAACAACTTACGGCATTCTGCATTAATTGAGGTTTTAACTATTGTAATATAATAACGCAGAGTTTACTATTCTGTCTTTAAGGCAACAGTAGTATGGAGGTTAGCAACATCCAAGTCCAGATAGCATCTCAACTTTTTATTCTAACACAACTGAAAACACTTTCTTGGCACCTGCTACTGCATGGCCTCTGGTAGGAAGATTCGGCAATGCTTGCATAGATTTTCACTTTTATGTGACAGGCAAACTAAAGAAAAACAGTCTTTTTCACCAAATGTCTCTTCTCTCTGCTTATCACAACCCTGTCTACAATTGGACCTCACCTGCTTTCTTTAAATATTGGTTAATGAATGAACTGATTAAGTCAGAGGAGATTATAAAATAAACCTATTGTTTGCCTCAATTTGGGTTTTTTACCTATTTACCACCTTGTCTTTCAAATTTAAGCAGGATGATCAGGAGGATGTTAGCCCCAGTCTTACAGAGCAGCAATGGGATAAAAAACTCCCTGAGCCATTATCTTGGAGAAGTGATGAGGAAGATGAAGACAGTGATTTTGGAGAAGAGCAGAGAGATTGCTACCTGAAGGTAATATTATCCTAAGGCTAATATATTGAAGTCTGTTGAAAGAGATACAAACTACTTCACTAGTTCAGGAGGGGTTATGATAATTTTTTTTTGCTGGTTCACAGTATTAGTCTGTTGTATTTTGTCACAATCAGTAAAACACCTTTCTCTCCTTCCCATGGGGAAGACAGCTGAAGAAACATCAAATAATCTTATAGGGAGGTGCAAGGGCAATGGTTAGTGTCATGAAAACTGATAAAGTCTCACGTATCTTTAGTGTCTAAATGTTTTATTCTTTACTGACAGCACACACTCTAAAAGTGGCACATTATGCTGATATTTATTTCCAGCCTAAATTTCATTTCATAGATTGATCATGTTGATTTTAGGCATATTACCAGTTTTCTCACAGAGCTGACACAAACATTGTTTAGGATATCTTGTTAACACTTGGAGACTTGTGTCCATCTCTGTGAATCTATGGCAACCCTTCTATTGGCTGCAGAACAGTATGATGTCTTTAATTTTATCTTCGGAAAATAGTTATTAATATCCTGGATGAGAAAAAAGTAGCATTGATCTGTGATATGCAGTGCCTGTTTTGTCCCTTGTGATAAACTGGTTTTTTGCAATGTTTTCATAACATGCTGTGTTGTGCCCCTGTACTCCTTTTTGTACTAAGAATTATTTGGGCTGCCGTTTTGCTGTGTTGCAGGTCATTTCTTGTTTCCGCTGGTCTCTGTCACTTAAGCTCTTGTTGCCCTTTCTTAGGTGAGCCAGTCTCAAGAGCACCAGCAGTACATCACTTTCCTGCAGAGGTTGTTGGGACCTTTACTGGAGGCGTATAGCTCTGCTGTTACCTTCGTGCACAATTTTAGTGGTCCTGTTTCAGAGTCTGAATACGTTCAAAAGTTACACAGGCACTTAATAAACAGGACGGAGAAGAATGTTTCTGTATATGGTATGTTAAACTCATTTTGGAACTGGATTTGATTCATTCTGTTCCTTGAGCATAAGGTAGCCCAAATTCAAGTGCAGTTTGTTTATCTCTGGGTTTTCTTTCTTGCAGCTGAGAGTGCTACCTACAGTCATGTGAAAAACGCAGTGAAAGTCTTTAAGGAAATTGGGGTAAGTGTTCGGTGATCAAATTTGGAGACTGTTAAGTTTCATTTTAATAATGAGCACAATTTTGACAATTCATGAAACCTGTTCGGTGTCAGTTTAAAATATGTGAATGTATCTCTGCAAATGTATTGTGGGTTTTGAGCATTTTGCTTTCCTTAAAGCTCAGGGCTGTAGGAGAAGAGCACACATTGCAGAACAGGGCACTTCTTGCCCCTGAGAAAACCTGGCTAGATGAGGGCTAGGTGACTAGGCATTTTTATTCACAGCAAGCGAAGTTTCTCTGCTCTGCTCCGTGTCCTTATTGGACATCAGTGACAATGTTGGAAGGCTGAGAGTGTGCTCTGTGCTTAGTGACAGCTAAATCTAAGTTTGAAGGACTGCTTAAATCTTCCAAAAGTATTAGTTACTGAATTTTGGCTTAGCAATGATTGATGCTCCAGCAGAAGCATCCTAATCGACCTTCAGTGTCCACCATGAGGATACAGATCTTCTTTAAAATAACAGATCAGTTTTGCACTTTACCACTCTCATTTTGAATTTTAAATCGCCTATCTAGATTTTGCAAATGAAGAGTTTCTTTCATCAGAATGACATGGCTTACTGAATGCCAGATGGGATTTAGCATTATAATTTTGAAAGCATCAGCATTTAGGCAAAGTATCACTAGATACAGGTTTTGAAGTCTTTGTCCTTGAATTCTGCTGTATTAAATAATCTAATGCTAGTTAGCCTGTAGTAAAGCCTATAGTAAAGGTATCTTCCTATAGACTGTAAGAGCTATGAAGAAAGCACATATCAAATCCGTTGTTTAATTCTAGTTTATTCTGCTGTTGGAAAAGTGGAACTAGATAGCATCTGCTGAGCACCTATTCAGAGCATAACATCTGAATTCTTGTTTTCAAAGTGCTTAGACTTTCAGCTGAGATGCCTTTTGAGTGCGTGTTTTATCCCTCGCTGTTAGGAGCTGGCTGTCTATCATACGCTGTGCTTATTTCTCAGTTTCTGTCCTTCCGTATCACTTGAAGGGCTTCAACATTGAGTGAGGGGGGGGAAGTGTTGCAAATGAGGCCAAATTTAGTATAGACCATAAACTTTTAATCACAAAAGAAAGGTGATTCTTGAACATGGTGATACTTATATGTATTCATGCTGTGCTTTAGGTTTTCAGTCAGACGAAACAAAGAAGAGACACCATTTTGGAACTAAGCACTACATTCCTACCTCAGCGCAACAGGCAAAAACTACTGGAATTCATCATGAGCTTCATGGTATTATAGACCACATATAGCACCTTTGTCCAGGGACATGAAGACAGGTTTTGAGACTGTGTCAAAGCCTGGGGACATTTGCTAATCCTTCAGAGTGTAAGGTGACGCTGTCTAGGTAAGGCCTTCTCTGACTTGAACTACTGGAAGACAAGTGCCTTCTTATGTATGCATTTATGGGTTTCTTACAGTCCCAATCCTGTTGTAATACAGCGATACTCAGATGACACTTTGGATACAAGTAATTAAACATGTTGCAAAAAATAAGATAAATGATCAGAATTAGATTTAAAATGGCGAGTGAAGTTTTATCAGTGTTATGTTTTAAATATACTTTTAAAGACTGTACCAGATGCACAAATACACATATTTGTGATCTGTAGCTAACCCTGAGATCTTGAGTTTAGTGGCAACGCAGCTTATGGCATAAACAAGTAACTTTCATTCCAATTCAGTTTTGTTTTAAATAAATGGTTTAAAAATTTTGCTTAGGCAGGATATATATCTCATGGATAAAGCCATAGTTTTTCATAAATGTTAACATAAATGCCAATATTCTAATGCGAATAAGAGTTACAGACATCTGAGGATAATGATCATGTAGCAGATGATTGTGAGAAATGTTAGCAGGCACACCTTGCACTATTAGAGCTGTGTAGTGCAGTGGTAAATTGCACTAATCACTGCTGTCATGAAGAATGTGAGAGTAGCGTTCTTGTTTTTATTATGGCATCTGTTACTCAGCCAGATGAAAGTCAGGAGACAGTTGCCTGAATGTGAATATCTTGTAAAATCTTAGATTATTATTTAATTGAAAAAAGCTATTAAGTTTGGTTGTTTTTTTTAATTAATAGGATGTCAGATTTTTTTTTTTTTTAAAGTGGAGTAGAGACTTGATTTGGTGAAATAACTTTTAATTTTGGCCCTAAAAATTTCATCAATAACTTGTGCAATTCTTTGGAAACAAGTGTTCGTATTATATTCTGTTGCTGAGCAGATCTGAATTGGCATGAAGTAGTAACCTCTAGAAACACAGAAATATCATAAACAATGTACTTCTGACTCTGATCTAACTGACTTAAAAAAAAAAATTCACAGACAAACTGAATGATGAATAAATTCTGTCCTATGAAACAGGACTCTGGTCTTGCAGTCTGATCCTTTTGCATGGAGGACTTGCACTGTAGATTTCGTCTTCTCTTCATGTGAGTGGAGATTAGATTGCAACCTGTAGTCCTGTATTTTAGTACAGCTGGTCTAGCTGAAGCAATAACTTGGTGGTATGTGAAACTGGTTTGCTTGTGAAATGTGTTTTTCCTCATTTGGATTGCCTTCTATATGAGGGAAATCAAACATTTCAATGTTTCACCTGATTCTTGTGTCCTGGCCTTGTGGGCGGAAAATCCCCCAAACTTCATCATGTAGTCTCTGTTGCTTAACACAAATACGGAAAAGCATACTTGAATCCCAGCACTTGCACTGTTACGCCAGCACAAAACTGATGCACACAATTTGAGTTTGTGGCCAAGGAGCTTGCATTTGTACTGCACATTTGTCAACAAGAATATTTCTGTAAATTTTTTTATTAAATGCTATTAATATTTGAGACCTGCAGTTTATAGTTTATTAGCATTATACTGTTAGCACTGTGAGACGCTTGTGTTTTGTCACTAAACCAGGTGCTCTACAACACTTAAAGAATTTCTGAACCAAAGCTACATTAATACGGATAGAAACTGACCCTAGAGTCGCGTTTGTTCTTATGTCCTTCTGCTGTCTCAGCAGGATAGTGATTACATCGCACATAATTTGTGTTGTGAAGTCTACTAGCTATTTAGAAAACAGTTTCATCTCATACTAGCTAATGTGCACTGTTCATTAACCTGATGAATGCTCCATACAACAGTTGTTGCTGATGGCTTCCATTTAATGTCAAAAAAAGACTAGGTGCTTCTGAATAACAAGCTCTCATAGTTTACTGCATTTTAGTAAATCCGAAGTGTACTGACAGCGAAGATTGTACATCAAAAAGATTTTTAAAAATGAAGCAATATGAAGCAAACAAAACTTGAGTCATTTTATTAAGAATGTTCTGCCAACTGATGTATTAGTTACCGTGAAACCCAGGAGTACTGTGGTCACTGGCGTGGTTTGGCTAGGTGTTGCAATTAAGATAACTTACGGCTTGCATTTAAAAAAAAAACAAACCAAAAACCAAAAAAAAAAAACTGGTTAATATAAATCAGTGACTGGGTAGGGTAATAATGCATGTGAATACACATTAATGAATACATATGCAGAGGGAGGGGGCACCTCTAAAACTGGTTTGGTTTTGTATGAAAAAAAACCTGCATGTGAGAAGTCAGTACTATGAATCATGTGCCACTGGAAGCCCTTTGCATTCTGCAGCAAGTGTGTATGTATACATATATATGCAAGCACGTATATTATGACCCATGACAACTATGCTTTTCCCTGAAAATAAAGCACAGAATATAAAATTATCAGGCTGTAAGAGTCAAAAACTAAAACCAACACTCTTGCACTGTATTTACACCTTCAGTGTCTTCTGATTTTATTAACCTCTCATTTTTCCTTTGCTGATAGAATGCCAGTTTGAGTTAATTTTGGTAAAGTTAACCAGTAAAGAAGAAAGGACTGGCCCTGAATTACCACAAATATATTCTAAGACTCTCCTCTTTTATAAGGACTTACACAAGTCTCATCATTCTTATGAGCATATTACTCAGGTGTGCAGGTCTTTTTGGGCCAGGATCTTTCATGGTATAAGAAACTTAATCTTTCCATATGCATCTTGTAGATCTCACATTTTTAGAGTGATCAAATGTAGAAATCTACTTCCCCTGCCACCACAGCTACCCAGGCCCCCAGGGATCATAAACTTGTTAATACAGTTATTTCTACTCACACTGACATCGGAGGCATGCCTACCTTCTCTTTGACAGTACAGGGCTTTATTCACCTATCTTGGGTTAGGAAGCATATACACACACTTGCGTTCAACTGACTGCCTGCTCCACAGAGAAGCATGAATCACCATGTAGAAGAAGGTTGAGGTGGGAGGTGATGTAAGATACTGTTGCTCTTGTGTTTCTGTGCTAATGAGCCCGATACTGCTTCCTTGAGAATGTTACCACGTTTTACCTGTTATGTGTAATGCCATGTCTGTTGTAGAAGCACAGAGGTGTACTGGAGTCATTTTAATAAATTAAACTGTTTGCTAATATGACATTTAACAAGCTCTTCTAGTGGTTTGTTTTTTCTTTAAATAACCTGCTAAGATAATTCATTCAATAACTTTGTCCTGTTCCAGGTAGTTTCTGAAATTAAACCATGAAAATCTTTCATTGTAGAAGTATCCCTACCAGTGCACGTACTGGAGCAGAACCATTTAAAAAGCCGATTGAGGTGAAATCCTGACTCCCGAGTCACTGTCTGTTTACTTGCGAAGCAGAGGTGCCATTTTGCTTCTCTGTTTCCCCATCCCCGCAAGGCTTTTGTATGTGGCTTCCTCTTTTAAAGTTCTTCTCGCTTCACGGGGTTGGGGGGGTCATTCAGAAGGCTGGGACGGCTCTGATGCTGCAGACCCTCCCTTCTTGTGGTGATTTCATGCTGACCTGGACTGCAATAAGGACCCGTCAGCAATTCTGACAGCATCTGGCAAATGTGAATCAATTGAAGTGGGGCTTTAATATAATAAAACCTGCATAGATGATCATTACTTAAATTGAGAAGGAGGGATGCTGTTTCACCCTTCAGAAAAAAAGAAAAAAGTTGTAATCAACTGATTCTTTAAGAGGCCTCTAGCAATGTTCACATGCAAGCAAGGCTCGATTAAATGACAACTCTAGGCTGAGGCAGGAAAGTAAAATTCAATTATTGTCAATAGCTTGAATAAAACCCAGTTCTTATTGGTGATGACCTTACATGTTAATCTTTCTGTAAATGTCTTCCTATTTCTTGGTCCTTTAAAATCCCAAATGTCAGGTAAAGCACTTATCTCCGGTTTTTGCTTAATTCAGTTTTCTTGTAATAAAAGCTTGTCAGGCTTATTTAGAAGGATCACTTGATTTGAGCTGTCTGCTTTGTTCTCTGTTATGGTACACCAAGTTTTCAGCAGCCCTGTATTTTCAAGGTAAGAAGATCCACATTGATCTCAATTGCTGCTTCAAACATTCTCTTCTCAGTCTTTTATAGATGTTCATTGCACTTTGCATTTCCTGGGTGAGAAGTATCATCCTTATTAATTCTTCTGTAAGTCAGCCCACCCGCTAATGCAATTGTCCAAAAAGTATTATAGTTGACGCTGTCATTAGAATATGGAACTTTCTGGCTTTTGGGAAGAGGTATGTATGAAATGTTCATTGCTGTGTGTTATGCCGGACTTCAGACCTGAGAGACCATAAACCCCAAAGAGACTTTTAGATTTCATCTGCCATAAAGCATTGACAGTTACCGAAACAAAAGCTGTTTAATTAATTTTTGTATAACTGTTAGTTATACAAATACATGTGTATGTAATTATGCAATGCAAAATTTCAATAAAAGATGCATGGCGTAATTGCTACAGGTGATATACATTAAAAGGGTGTTCTCCAGCATAGTAGTAATATTGTTCTTGAACTGACAGTATTTGCAGTCTTTTGGTCTCAAATATTTTACAGAGTGACAATTTCTGACAGATGAGGAAACCTAGACATGGAGATCAGATAACGTGTCTAAGGCCATGCATGGGTTCAGTGACGCCTACGAGCCTGTTCTTTTGCTCCTGATTTACATGTCACTTCTGGTGCTGTCTTGTATTTTCATTACCAAGCGATGGTAGTTTGAGGAAGGCTGCATGTGTACAGGTACTAAGTGGGTTTTTTTTCTCTCCTTAAAGCACAATTCACAGTCAGAATGGCAGAATTACAGAGTGGAAGAATTACTGTTAGTAGTGGACATGATTCTACTAGCATCTCTTCTGAGTCTCGTCTGTTCAGTATCTTCATTAGTGACGTGGGGAATGGAAGAGAGAATTTGCTCTTCACATTTGTAGATAACAAGATGTAGGAGAGCCAGGTAGTACGCTGGAGGTTGTCATGATCCCAATGGTAATGATACAATTTTTGAAAGATCTGAAGGCAAAAAGAAGAATGCAGTTCCGCAG